CGCTTCTGCAAAGATCGTTCCCAAGTAGTAGGAGTATACCAAGATGTTGATTCTTTCCCGTAACCGAATAGATCGAGTAAGTAGTGGACATATCAAAGATACACGATTCGCCAGATCATGTGAGTCATTGTAGGGTGGTGGCATCAGGGTTATTTCAATAGGTTCAGACCGAGTGATGTCATTGACGATTTCATCCAACATGATTAAACTTCTAACTATTTCAGGTATATAAGAGTGAATGTTGCCAATCTGCGAATTTTTACTCACTTTCACCTGCATTTTAGCGCTCTTTTTATCTCTTTTTCTACCTTTCGATCTCGATCTATGATTTGGCTCCTGGCTTTTTCGCTTCATCACTTTCGTCTTTTTGGTAACTCTTTCTATCACTTTTTTTTTTTTTTTTTTTTTCCACAGTGGTAAACCCAGTAAAGGTCATTCATTGTTTTCCCCCAGGGTCATATACGCGAGTTTCATTCTACTGCGGTAAGTATAGGCAAGTCCTTTCATCAGGTTTCTAGGCATGCATTGGCTGTTTTTTAACCTCTTCAGCCTTGTGCCTTCCTTTTCTTTCTTTCTAGAGCATTTCCAAATCAAGACTTCTGTGACGTATACGTTCCGGGGTCTCTTCTTTTCTTCTTCACCTAATTCCACGGACCTTCTACAACTTGACCAGGGGCAGCGTCGAATGTCAGAACTCAAGGTGGTACGAATTCTTCCCTCTTATTTTCATCAAAATCACACTTGTTCTCACCTAAAAATACTCTAACTTTTTTCTTCCACTTTTCATTAGCTTTTTTCAAATCCTTTTCCACTATTATTCTGCTTCGGTCAAACCCACCAGGATCGAATTGTTCTTTCGAATCGCCGTCTTCCGCACGTTTCCAACGCCATTCCCATACTTCATTTTTTCGGCTCCGGCTCCATTTTCGTAGCGATCTCCAACCAGGTACATTGCATCCGCATCACCTGATTCACCAGATCTTTGATGATAGGAGAAGGCTTTATTTTCATTCTTTTTAACTCCACCTTTGTTTCGGTAACATTCACTGATATTCGTCGTATCTTCTTCGGCCTTGGCAAGTTCATTTTCGGTAGGTTCTTTTGCTCCTCTACTCCATCTGACCCTACTTCTAAATCTTTCAACTTTCTTTATCTACGATTCACAGGCGTAATCCAGGTCTTTACTTTTTTTGGTAAGTTCTTCTACGTCTTCTTTCTTTTCATCGTCTTCTTCGTCTACAATCGTCTTATCGTTATCATCGTTATCTTCTTCATCTTCATCAGCTTCGTTGTCGTTGTCTTAATCTTCGGTTTCACCTACGATTTTTCCGATTCTCACAGGTATGTTTTCCTCATACTTTTCTCTTTTTTTTCTTTAGTTTCTTCCTTTTCTTCTCTTTTAACTTCAACTTCTTTTTCTTTGTCCTTTTCAACTCCAGCCTCTTCCTTTTCGACTCTGATTTCTTTCTTTTTTTTAACCTCCTTAACTCCAACTTCTTCGCAGTAAGGTCCAACTGGGTATGTTTCTTTGGCGCCTCCTATTCTAGCAACCTTTATGTGATCGTCGGGTAAGTCGTTATTTTTTTCTTCAGCTTCTTTTTTTGTCGCCTTAACGTCACTAACTTTCTTTTTCTCAACTTCTATTTTTTTGCTTTTTTCTTTTTCGGGGGCCCATTTTTGTGTGATAGCTTCACATTCGGCGACGAGCGTTTGAAGAAGAACTTCAATTCAGTTTCTCATTCTTCTTCCTTAGAGCCGAAGGCAATACTTTCAAGGGGTTCTTCTGCGGATTCATCGTAGTAGGCGTCGAATACTTCAGTTACGGTAGGTCTTGGTTGTCAAGACTTCAGGAGAACTTTTGGGACAAGGACTACAGAAGGTACTAGAGGTGGATTCAATTGGATATACGAGAGCAGGTGCACAATATTATCTTCTCCTTCGTCATCGGCATCGGGGTTGTTATCCTGGCTAACATCTGTTAATATTTTAAAAAAATATTCTAGAGCTTGTGGGTCATAAAGACTACGGTCTCTTATAGTTTCATCAACCATTTCCTGGACTTCCACGATTTGTTCCTGGGTAAGTATATTCAACAACTCCAAACTTTCTAGCTGCATCGTTCTTATCTTTGGGCAGCTACTAATGTCATGGTTTCCTTTTCTACAATAGAGACACCAAGTCTTTCATCGAGATCTTTGTCTAGTCGTTTTTATCATTCAGGATTCAACTTTTCTTCGAGGTTGGTTACATATTGGCAAGGGGTAAATATCGTATATATATTTTTTTTTTCCACTTGTCTTCAATCCTTTGATACAGCTTACTAATACACTAACTCTTGTACTCACTATTCCTATAATCAAAACCACGGTTGGGCCTTCCTCTTGGATCTCAAACCGTAATTCAATCATCTCAACTGTCCATGGTATATTAAGAGAGTTGGAAACAATAACGGTAGTCCTCAGTACGTCAAGAATCAACCAGACAGAGTATGATACACTTTACGTTAGTCCTGTGAGCATGAATACAAGAGCATCAATCATACTACTTCAGTCTGGGAATATACCAAATTAGGAAATCACATTCTAGAATGATCTACGAATAGATTCTTGATTTTGATTGGCTCT